CGGCGGAGGCGGCTTCAACGGGCGGCTGCGCCGGCCAGCCATCGGCGGTGGCAGACGCGCCCTAGCTGCGTCGCCGCGCCACGGCGTCGCACCCAGGCTAGGCTGGCCTATTAGCCTCCCACACTAATGGGCCGCCACCCCCGCGCCTGCCGAATGGGCCAGGCCGCGCCCGCACCCCACCTCCCCACCTCCGTGGACCGCAAGGGGAAGTGGGCCGAAACCTTTATTTCGGCCCATTACCCAATTATATTTATATTTTTCAGCATTTACATTATAGTACTTGACCTTTTGGTCATTTAAATTTTAGCAAATAATTAGAGTTTTACATTTGCCATCAGCACTTTGTAATTCTCTGATATTGTTAATATATGGTTTTGTTTAAGCATTTCCATGTCTTTTATTATACAATTACTTTGCAAATTTATTCTCCTCGCCCTATGTTATTTTATTTTCCCAACTATGCCATAATTTCTCAAAATTTTGGCTATCACAATGTAGGTGAGATGGAAACCAAAGAGTTTGATATTCTCGCTCTCGATGGTTCCAATTTCCCTATTTGGGCGATGGATCTCAAAGTGAGTCTGTCAACCAATGGACTATACAGATGTATAGATGATACAACAGATGGAACCGTCCCCCCCTCTAACATGTCAAAATTCTCTGCCTTAAGAATAATAAGGAATCATATCCACCCGGATTTGAAAATGGAATACATGTTAGAGGAGGAGGACCCACAAGTTTTATGGACATCTCTGAAAAATCGATATGAACAGCATATGGCGATTATCCTCCCTGAGGCATCGCATGAGTGGAATCACTTACGTCTACAGGATTTTAAAACTATAGACGAATACAACCATGTTGTTCATAAGATATGCTCTAAGCTCCGGTTTTGTAAGAATGAACCTTCTGAAGCGGAGAAAATTGAGAAGACTTTGTCTACAATGCTCCCATCAGAACAGATCATCACTCAACAATACCGTGAGAAGAATTTCACAGTCTATTCTTCACTCATTCAGACATTGAAACAGGCAGAAAAGAACCATGAGCTCACTGTATGGAACTCAAACCAGCGCCCATTTGGCACTGCACCACTGCCTGAAGTACATGCAAATGAGAAGAAAAATATTCCCAATGGGAATACCCAGACTGGAAGTTCATCTGGCAAGCGCAAACGCTAGAGAGCCAAAAAGCAACGTGGGAACGCTCAAAAGGGAAAAGGCAATTCGAAGCCAAATAATGATAGTGACAACAAAACCGCCTGCTACAGGTGTGGTTGCTACAATCATATTGCTAAGAAATGCAGGACCCCTAAACATCTTGTTGATCTATACATGAAGTCTATGGGTCATACACAGACCAACCAAAAGCATGAAGCACACTTCGCCTCTAGAGTGCTGGAGACTGGAGCTATGGACCCCATTCCTGAAGGAGCGGGACCGAGCAAAATCCAAGGCTCCGGCAAATGAAGAGGAAGGCTCTTTGGACATCGACGACATGCTCGTGGAATATTCTTCCAACGACATTTATGGAGACCTTAATTAGGCACCATATAACTTCTATGTTTAATTTTGCATGAGTAAACATTGTAATAAAAGACATGATGTTGGTACCCCTATTTATAAATGTAATAATCACACATATTCATGTGTGTTTTTCTATATTTTGCTTTTATTCTTATGAATTTAAATTTCGCATTATATAGATTATTACGGGAATCATCCCGGCATTGGAATGATGGACATGGTATGAGTGACAGATAATTCCCAGAATCATCAGATTTTGTGTGCACCTCATGTGCAACTAGGAAATTAATTTTGAGACCCTCATATCTCAAAATAAAGGCTGAGCCACTAAAGTTTCTTGAACGCATTCAAGGAGACATTTGTGGCCCCATTCAACCATTGTCTGGGCCATTCAGGTATTTCATGGTTCTAATAGACGCATCTATAAGATGGTCCCATGTGTGTCTCTTATCGACATGGAACCATGTTTTTGCAAAATTGATTGCACAAGTCGTCAGACTCATAGCAAATCAACCTGAACACCAGATAAAATCAATCAGATTAGACAATGCTGCAGAATTTTCTTCCAAAGCTTTCAATGATTATTGTATGGCTTTAGGAATTGAAGTCCAACATTTTGTACCATATGTTCACACACAGAATGGTTTAGCCAAATCTCTTATCAAGAGAATAAAACTCATTACCAGACCCTTATTGCAAAATTGTAACCTACCAACCTCATGTTGGAGTCACGCAGTCTTACACACTGGTGACTTAATACAATTGCGCCCAACTGCATACCATACAACTTTCCCGTTGCAATTGGTTCGTGGTGATCCTCCTAATATTTCCCATCTGCGGAAATTCGGTTGCGTTGTATACGTACCGATCTCACCACCAAAACATACATCAATGGGCCCTCATAGGAAAACGGGGATCTATGTGGGATATTTATCCCCGTCGATTATTAAATACCTGGAGCCCCTTACAGGGGATTTACTCACGGCCCGGTACGCTGATTGTATCTTCGATGAAGATCATTTTTCCAGGCATTAGGGGGAGAATTCAAGTATCACACTGAATGCCCGGAAATAAATTGGGATGCCTTAGACACCCTAAAGGAGGATCCTCATACCACAGATCATTGATTTGCAGGTAGCTGCAAACAATTTGCCATACTCATTTAGTGTGAGTAAAAGAGTCACAAAATCATACATTCCCGCAAGGAATGTGCCGGAAAAAATAGAGGTACCAAATAAAACAATTCAACTCCCTTCCTCGAAAGAGAGTGGGAGAATTACGGCAAATCCTCGAATGTGCACGAGAAAACAAAGGATAGAATCCTATGATACAGTAAATGAAACTCAACCTCAAGTTGAGAGACACCAAGTGGATTCATCGGATCCACTTCCCACATCAACAGTGCACTCAATTTCTGATGATGGGATATTGGAACGCCCCAACACGATCATTTGGGAAATACTGAGTCGTCAACTGGGGTGCATGAAATTTTTGTAAACTATGTTGAATCTGGAGAATCATTCAACCGTAAGACTACAATTGTCGACATATACTTTGCATCATCAGTTGCAGATACCATCCAAAATGATCCAGATCCAAAATCCATGGTAGAAGCGCTCGGCCTGGAACAAATGGAAGGAAGCAATTGAAGCAGAGTTAGCCTCCCTTAATAAAAGAGAGGTATTTTCACAAGTAATACCTACACCTCCAAAAACCTTCCCCGTGGGTTTCAAATGGGTTTTCATCCGGAAACGGAATGAGAACAATGAGGTGGTGAGATATAAGGCGAGGCTTGTAGCACAAGGGTTCACGCAGAGACCCGTCATTAATTCCAATGAAACATATTCTCCAGTCATAAGTGGAATTTTGTTCCGATATTTGATTTCACTAGCAATTCAAAAGCGTCTATCTATGCAGTTGATGGATGTCGTGACAGCATATTTATATGTGTCACTAGATTCGGACATATATATGAAGGTCCACGATGTGATCTCTATACCGAATGGAAGCTCAAATCGCAAAATATATTGTGTAAAGCTCAAAAGATCACTCTATGGTCTCAAACAGTCGGGCAGAATGTGGTATAACCGACTAAGTGAGTACCTTCTACAGAAAGGTTACTCCAACAATGATGATTGCCCCTGCATATTCATCAAAAGATCCTCCACATGATTTTGCATTATATCAGTGTATGTAGATGATTTGAATATCATTGGCAACACACAAGATATTAATGAAGCCCGCCACCACCTTAAGGCGGAATTTGAGATGAAGGATTTGGGTAAAACCAGATTTTGCTTAGGTTTGCAAATCGAGCACCTTCACTTAGGCATTTTAGTGCACCAATCTGCCTATGTCCAGAAATTATTGGAGAAATTCAATATGGACAAAGCACATCCAAACAAAACTCCCATGGTTGTTCGATCACTCGATAAAGAAAAAAACATTTTCCGACCACGGGAGGAAGGAGAGGGGATATTAGGACCAGAATATCCCTATCTCAGTCTCATTGGAGCACTTATGTATCTTGCAAATAGTACTAGACCAGACATTGCGTTTGCAGTCAATTTGTTAGCAAGACATAGTGCCGCTCCAACTAAGCGTCATTGGACCGGAGGAAAAGAAATCCTCAAGTATCTAAATGGCACTAAGGATCTTGGCTTATTCTTTTAGAAAACTGCTGATCCTAGCTTGGTTAGGTACACTGATGCTGGCTATATGTCTGATCCCCACAACGCCAGATCACAAATAGGCTTTGTATTCCTCCATGGAGGAATGGCCATATCGTGGAAGTCATCTAAACAAACATTAGTGGCTACCTCCACAAATCATTCAGAAATCATCGTACTGTTTGAAGCATCACGTGAATGCGTGTGGCTCCGCAGGATGATAAACCACATTGAGCAATCTTGTGGCATTGGTTCATCAGAATCACCTACTATTATCTATGAAGACAATGCTGCTTGTATTACATAGATGCAAACAGGCTACATCAAGAGCAATATCACCAAACATATTGCTCCTAAGTTGTTTTATCCCCATGAGCTTCAGCAAAGTGGAGAATAAACATCTTACAGACAAAGTCTTGTGATAATCTGGCAGATCTCTTCACTAAATCCCTACCTACTTCCTCGTTCGAGAGATGTGTTAAGGGAATTGGTATGAGACTACTCAGAGACTTGCAAGCTTCAGGGGGAGACTCTCTGAATGATGGACCTTGTTCAAATACATCACATTGTACTCTTTTTTCCTTTTGTGAGTTTTTACCATCCGGTTTTTAATACAAAGTTTTTAATGAGACAATGTTAGATACAAGCTTATGCCTTATCTCATGTTTTCCCCACAGGGGTTTTTCCAGAGATAAAACAAGGCATGGATTACTCCTTAAACCTTACAGGTTTCTGATAGAGTAATCACCAATCACAGTATTCCTTTTTTTCCCCACAGGGTTTTTCGAAGGAATTAAACAACAAGTTGATCTCAAGATGGACTCGATCAAAAGGGGGAGTGTTACAAAAGCATCATGAGGCATATTTGATCTCATCAAAGGCTCATCAAAGAGCAACAATGGCAAGAATCAAGTGACTTGTAACAGCCATATTATGGTGTATTTGTGACACATAATCAACCATATTTAGTGGCTTAAATCTCCCTTAAATCCTAGGAGAATCCTAGGCTTGTACACATTCAAATCCTCACTATCAAAGGGGACATATTGAGATCAATAAAACTTGAAGGGATTCACTGTTTTCACTGTTCATCTATCGTTTTCTAACAGATAGAGTAAGTGGCAGTAAGAAAGAGAGAAATCGATGTGAGAAAATGCTATGAGACGCAGTTAAGGTGAGACCTTTGAGCTCTGGGACACGGGAGGCGGCCTCGAGCATGCCGGTGACCTCCTTGCCGGCCTCGGCGGCGCGCGCGAAGAGCTCCTCGATCTCCTTGAGCACCGCGAGCAGCTCGTGCCCAGGCTGCGTCACGGCCACCTACAGCCTGCCGCCACCTAGCCCGCACACGTCTTTGGCCTCTTCTTGATTGGCCACTCCGAGCGGAGTTTCTGCTGCTTTGGGGGTCTCGGCGTTCGCCGACGTCTTTGCCCCCTCGTCTCCGCTTCCTCCAGCTCCGGGATCCCCTCCCGCTCCCTCATCGTGCGCATATCCTCGTTGCTGATGGCTACTGCGGCCACCTCCTGCACCACGTAGAACAGGTTAAAGAAATCCCACCCTCCAACCGCCGACGCCGCAGGAGGCGGCGGCGGCATCGTCGTCGTCACCTTTTTCGGTGGAGCGTAGTAGTAGGGGCACCCCAAATCTGGCGTCCGCGCGTAGCCGCCGCCGCCACCGCCGTCATCCACCTCCGCCTTTTCCTCGTCGTCCTCCACCCCCTGCGCCACTGAGGCGAGTGCCGCCGGCGCGGGCTTGGGGGACACGGGAGGCGGGTTCATCGGGGTGGGGCGGCCGGCAGGCGTGGAGGTCGATGTCGTGCAGGTGGAAGAGTGACCGGCGATGGCGGCGACAGAGGAGGTGGCGGAGGCGCGAGGGGGTGGTGGCGGTGCTCGGCGACGAGGACGGCGCGAGGGGGAGGCGGAGGCGGCGGCGTGGGAGAGGGAGAGCGAGCGGGTGGCAGCGGCGCTCTGCAGCGGCGGCGGCGCGAAGGGGTGGTGGTGGCGCTTGGCGACGGGGACGTGTCACACCTATCGGTGTAACCGATGGTGACCAACGAAGCAGAGAAGGATACAGGGGAGGCGGGTTCTCAGTAGACGCTTTCCAGGAGAGATTACGTATTTATGTAATGTGTGTGTTGCCCAGTGTCTGGCTTGTGGACCTGGAGGATGTGTGTGTTGGGTTAAATTATGCTGTACTGGTACTGTCATCCCTTGTCGAATAAGAAAGAAAAACGAAGAACTCTCCCCAATTTCCTTTCGTGTTCACACTTGTCCGGCGGCTCACGGCGAGAAACCTCGACGCCGGTGAGCGGGGCATTACACCTGGTATCAGAGCAAGGCGAACCGGCGCGCGCTTCCTCGTATTCTCTTGATCCGGCGGTAATATCCCATAGTTCAGTTGGTGATACCCGTAAGGGTTCGTCGCCGTAAATCTGTTCGAGGGTTCGTTGGATTCGGTGGAGGAACGCCACGGCACCCTCTAAGCAGAGTGTGCAAGTGAGGCAAGTTGTGGCGGCGATGGGTGAGATGGAAGAGAGGTTGTTGGCGGCGGTGGAAAAACTGGCGGAGAAGGTGGAGAAGGTGGGGCTGATTCAAGAGAAACTGGAGGTGATGGACAAGAAGTTGGAAAAGCAAGGAGAGAGGCTCGATCAAGTGCAGGCCAAGGTGGATTTGTCGCTAGAATCGCTGGGGCAAGTTCTTCAAGAACAGATCCATGTCATGCAAGCTGTGAAGCGCACCGTGCCTGCGACGCTGGTGATTCCAACCAGGACAATGGAAGCAACCTCATCTGTGACAAGGGAGCAACCTCAGGTAACCATTCCCATGCCTACACTCACACCACCACCTAGGGTTGAGACAGGAGAAACACATGCGCCACACTTGGGAGAGGGAAACAGGGGAGTAGCCCATGAGAACCATTTCAGAAGAAATATGCCAAAAATGGATTTCCCGAAATTTGATGGGCCAGATGCTAGTGTGTGGGTAGACAATTGTGAGACATACTTTGCTATGTATCAGATCCCAGCAGGTTTTAAGGTGTCAGCTGCATCACTGAACCTGTTAGGAAAAGCATCGCACTGGTATAAAGCCTGGAAACAGAAAGTTGGCCTTCATGTTTGGGAAGAGTTTAGAGATGCTGTTGTGAAAGAGTTTGACTGTGGAACCCATCACATCAAAGCCAATGCCATGTTCGAATTGAAACAAACGGGTTCTGTGGATGAACATAAGAGCCAATTTGATGACTTAATGTACAAGCTTTGTTGAAAGATTTAAAACAAGAGTTTGCTCTCAAGGATTTAGGTGATTTGCACTACTTCCTTGGTATAGAAGTCAACAAGGTGAGAGATGGTATTTTGTTGACTCGGGAGAAATATGGTTCTGATCTACTAAAAAGGGCAGGTATATCAAGTTGTAAGCCTGTTGCTACACTTATTTGTACTACAGAGAAATTGTCAGTTCATAGTGGTTCCACCCTATGGGAACATGATGCAACTTGATACAGAAGCATTGTTGGAGCTTTACAGTACTTGACTTTGACTAGACCAGATATTTCCTTTGCAATAAATAAGGTTTGTCAGTTTTTACATAATCCTACCACACAGCATTGGATGACAGTCAAGAGGATTTTGAGATATATTATTAAGTCTTCTGTTGGTCTTGGTCTTAAGATTAACATATCTCCTTCTACTCTTGTTAGTGCTTTTTCTGATGCAGATTGGGCAGGATCAGTAGATGACAGAAGGTCAACAAGTGGATTTGCAGTCATTTTGGGTTCAAATCTGGTGTCATGGAGTGCTAGAAAACAGGCTACAGTTTCCAGGTCAAGTACATAAGCTAAATATAAAGCAGTAACAAATGCTACAACTGAGGTAATGTGGGTGCAAACTTTACTTAAAGAAATTGGAGTTCAGGTTCCTTCAGCAGCCATGCTATGGTGTGATAACTTAGGAGCTACATATTTATCAGTTAATCCTGTCTTTCATGCTAGAACTAAGCATATAGAGGTAGACTATCATTTTATAAGAGAAAGGGTTGCTAGGAAACAGTTGGAGATAAATTTTATCTCATATGATGATCAAGTAGCAGATGGTTTTACTAAACCAATCTCTGTTCAGAGATTTTAGACACAATCTTGACTTAGATAAGTTATGATTGAGGGGGCTGTTAGAGTTAGAGATATTTCCGGAAGGATTCTCATGCGATAATCTAAAATAGTGAAAGCAGCAAGCTTTCATGCAAATTAACACACCATGTCATCAAATAAATAGGAGCCGTTCGATTTTTACCGCAAACGTTGCAAGCCATCGGATCTCTTTATTGGCGAAACTACGGGTAAAAACGGATCGGATAATATCCGATCTTGTAACACCCCAGAAAACCACATAAGCCTGGGATGCTACTAAACAACCATACATAAGTGCCAAAACAAGCAAATTTCGGCAACAACTACCTTAGACAAGAAAACATCACGGAAGCATCAACATATAGATTAAGGTTATGTTACAACAATTGATGGACATGCAGGGATATCCTTGAAAGAGTAGTTAAACAATGGTCAATAACTCTAGTATTTAATTAACCCATTATGTCTAAACACAAGTAATCTTATCAACATATTACAATAATCATGACTAAGTGAGTTCATGTCGTGCGACAGTGTAGCTAATCCCATCCCTTCATGAAAACATGTCATGGCATGTACCTGAAAAGACTGTAAGGGGGTGGGAATAAATCTCAGCAAGCAAACGGCTTTAACAAGCTATTTAAACCACAGATTTATTATATAGCTAATTAAATGCCAAGTTATGATTCACATAAAGACAAGTTGAATATCCAAGGACCAAAACATCATAACGTCACCAATCAAATACATATACTCACAAATCCTAGAGATGAAAACACTTCTCAAAGACATCTTCGATCGATAATATTCATAACATTCTGCAATATGTGCATATGCAATGCAATGATATGTACTCCTACCTTCACACCCAACAAGGTGTGAAGCTGCATCGTATTACGACAATATACGATGCTGTACCGGTACGGTCGCAACCATAGGTTCATGACATAACTTCAAATGCAATGCAAGTGATGCAAATGCAGTATGAATTCCAGAGTATAACATCATAACCACATTCCTTCGATGCAGATCAGTATAAGGTTATTATAGCCAAGAGCATAAAGTATAACCATAAACAGTGTAAAATCAATAAGTATGATTCAGATAGGTAAATCCTCTGTGTAACATATAATAATATCTTGGTTGATGATATATAATTTCAAAGTGGAGGTAGAATCAAATAACAAGTCAAAGCTGTAGCAAACCACCGCTACGTTTACTTGCCTCGAACAACGAAGAGACGATACCAAGCATTATCCGGAGCACCACAACCTATTTTCATAATTATAACCTTAGCATACAAACTCCCAAATTCATACAATGCAATAAATAAACACCCGCAGTCCACAACCCAAGAAACGTACAAAACAACGAAAGTCGTTCTCAAACTACAGCACTGCTGCTTCACATTTTTATATCTATAAAACTACAAAGATTATGGATACAAATAAATATACTCTGAAGATCTACAGACAAAGACCTACAACATGTATGTGCAAACAATATTTTAATTCTGACATTTTGAGGGGCTAATTCCTACTTGAAAACAGGGTTTATCATCTGTCTAGAAATTCAGACAGCAGAGAGTAAAAACTCTATATCTCAAGATTTAAAAATCCAATAAAGATGTACTTTACCAATATGGAAAGATCAAAGCAATACCTACAACTTCGTTTATAGTTACAAAAGCTAATTCATCTGTTTAGCCCCTCTAAAAACAGTTTAATCGACTACTATCCAGATTATGACATAAAAACAACAGTCATACTAAAAAAATTCATATCGCCTAAACCACTTGAGATAAAATCGCGCCCTTTGGCGAGAAGATAGATCCAAACATTGTCTACAACTTACTAGTTATACACTTTTCCGGAAAAAGCCGTTTTGATATCCTAATTGATGAAATACCAAACCCCTGTAAATCTGCCCGCGAGTAGAATTACCAATCCGAATCATAGCAATAAAACCTCCTTACCTAAACCCTAATTACCACGAATTAAAACTCTCAAAACACCCAAAAACAACATTAAAACAGTGGGGAAGTCTCACCTAGGGTTTTATGGAGAACAAAAATAAATATGACGGAAAACACCAATTCACCACTCCTCTTCTTCCTCTCCTCCTCCTCATTCCGTTTTTGCAACTAGTTTCTTGATCCATCATACGGTGCAAGAGATCATGGAAGAGGAAATCTCGTGAAGGGGAAAGAACACCTAACACCGTACATAGGAGGGAGGGGGCGGCTGTCTCGGCGTCGTGGGGTGGGGGGAGAGAAGAGGGAATCCTGTCCCTCCTCCTGTAGGGTTTTAGATAGGGGCAAGGAAGTGGGCTGGGCTCATGGGCCTAGGTCCAAGCCGAGCTGGCCCACTTACAAGGGAACTTTATTTAACTAATTATTGTTGCTACCTCAATAAACCAAAAACAACATTTTTTTTGGGTGTTACAGATCCGATCCGCTCCGAATCCGTCGGAAACGAGGATATGGTATGGGATTTTAGAAATCCGGCGAATATAGATGCGGATGCGGATAGTATGATGCAGATGCGGATGCGGATATGTTATCTCTAAAATCTGGCAGATGCAGATTATCCGACATTTCTACCGGATTATCCGATAGACCATTTGCCGGATAATCTAAAATTATCAACACATATAACCACTCTACCTATTTCATATAACATAAGGTTTTCCATCCAATAGCCTAATTCATCAATTAACCTAGATTTCTTAGTATGAGGCTTTCACCATCATATGTCACACTTGCGTAGTTGAATTTTTATATTATGGACATCATGTATTCATGTTGTTTAGCACCTAAGCATATAATTATTATGATGGGTTGTTTATTCATTATTGTATTATTGTTCCTTGCATTGCCAACTCGATATTGTATTGATTGCATACACAAGTAACATCCAATAAATTTAATCCATTTCCGAACCGATTCCGCACTGACTCCGACATCCGAAACAATCCGCTCCACATCCGCATCCATACACTCACTACTGGAGAAACGCTTTTCTCTCCCGGGTAGCGAACCGGGAGAAAGAATCCGGGACTAAAGATGCCAGTCTTTAGTCCCGGTTCAAATACCCGGGACTAATGATGCGAGTCTTTAGTCCCGGTTCAAATACCAGGTTGGTCCCCTTTTCTTTTTTTTTTTAAATTGTTTCTTTACTACTTGCCAGGGTTAACGCTGTATTTCCTCCCAAATCAATTGGGATGCATATGCCAAATCAAACCCCAAATCATTCACATCACAAAGCCTATGTTACTTATACGAACAAATCAAATACATCACAAATCATTAAAAAAATTACACACAAATCAAATACACCACAGATTATACATCTCAGATCCATGCAATGAATCACAAATTTTTTTAAAAAAGAAATTATAAATCACAAATTATCAAAAAAGAAAAAAAAAGGACGCCGCCTGGACGCCTCGCATGCGCGCCGGCCGCCGCCTGCTGCCGCTGGCCGCCTACCGGACGCCACCGTCGGATGGGAGGGGAGGAGGGGGAGGAGAGGGGAGAGGAGGAGAAGGAAGGGGAGGAGGGGGGAGGAGGAGATGGGAGTGGAGGAGGAAGGAGATCGGATCTGAGGGGAGGAGGAGAGATGATCCGATCTTATCTAAATATCTCGTTTGGAAAGATATGGGAGAAAATATTTACTCCTGGTTGGAGTTACCAACTGAGGCTAAAGATGTATTTTTAAGTCCCGATTGGTAGTATCAATCGAGACTACAGATCTAAAGGGACTAAAGTGGTAATCTTTAGTCCCGGTTGGTAGTATCAACCGGGAATAAAGATCCTCAGCCCCCTGACATGCCTCTGACATGGGATGAACCGGGACTAAAAATGATCTTTAGTCCCGGTTGGAAATACCAACCGGGACTAAAGATCAAAATTTTTTTTAACCGGGACTAAAAACAATCTTTAGTCCCAGTTCTTATTAGAAACGAGACTATTGTGAAAATTGTCCGTCCCTCCAAAGATCACTTCTCCAGTAGTTACTATCCGTACCCGCTCTAAGTCTGCTTAAAAAATATGGTTTATAATATGGTATAACCACTGTCCGTCTGAATCCACTTTGTTTTCACCCCTGGGCGAAACCTCCTGTTGACCCATCAGAAAACTTCTTTTGTATCAAGGTCCTTCCACATCTAGTCTTACTATTTTTCATTTGATCCCCTACAACCCTCCTGTGCGACAACGCATCTTGCGTCCTCCTCCCTCGTCGGTACGCTGCCTCCACTGCCGAGAGATCGAGACGGCGCTCGCCGGCTCACGTCTTCCCCAACCCCACCGCCGTCGTGCCCCCACATCCCCTCTGTCCACAAATCCCACACCTCCCCGCACGGCGTCGTGTTCCTCCTCCTCCCAATCTCCACCGCCTCTAATCGGGGGTTCGTGGCCGTCCAAATCCGGGCGTCGCACCAACGAGGACAGATGGATGGGGACTCACCAGCCATGAAGTAGAAGAGGCCTGCGGTGGAGAGAGGCAACAACCCGCTGCGCTCTCCCCAATCTAGTCCCCTGGAGGGCATGTGCGTTGGTAATGAAACTAGAAGTTTTAGTCTAGAATCCTTTCCCCTCCCCATAACACATATGTGTCTGTTCGTTAATTCTGAGTGTATGCTCATCTTCAGATTTAGAAAGGGCGTAGTTTCTTCATAAGAAATATCATATGACTGAAGTTTTTATAGAATTTATAAATTTGCCGACTGCTGATTTATCTCCCTTATTTTAATTTATTTGTTTTTAGCACTACTGGACAGGTGATCTTTGCTGGGTCGGCCGATTTCCATAATAGTCCCAGTTACTTAAAAAGCCGGGACTAAAGATAATCTTTAGTCCTGGTTTATTTGTCCAAGGGGACTATACGATCTTTAGTCCCGGTTCATAGATCATCTTTAATCCCGGTTCACCTCGTATCAGAGGCTGTCAGGTCCTCAAAAATCTTTACTCCTGGTTGGTGTTACCAACCGGGACTAAAGTGATCTTTAGTCCCGGTTGTTGTTTTCAACCGGGGCTAAAGTTTATATCGATCTTTAATCCCGGTTGGTATTACCAACCAGGAGTAAAAATGAATATACCGTATATAATCCCTTTGCACGTATCCTCAAAAATTTCTATCTCGTATTCCTCCTCACTCTTATCCTCTCCTTGTCTTCCTACTACTCCTCTCTCTCACACAGTTCTTATCCTCTTTTCTCACAGAGCCGGCGAGGAGCGGGCTGCGGCGGCGGGAGACGCGCGCGGAGGAGGAGATTGGGAGGGCGGCGGGCCGCGGGAGACGGCGCGGCCGGCGGCCTGCTCAGCGATTTTTTTTTTTTAGAATTTGTGATTGAAGATCTGAGATGTGTTTTATTTGTGTGTGATGTATTCATGTGATGTATTTGTGATGATTTTTTACAACTTGTGATGTAAGTTTATAGAATTTGTGATGTATTTGGAGATGATCGATTTGAGGATTTGGATGTATCTTTTGTTATGTGATCTGTTGGATTTGTGATCTGTGATGATTTATTTGGGATGATTTGGGGATGGAGTGAAATCAATATTCAATGTTAAAAACAATAAAAAAAAGTAACAATTGGTCATGGCCTGGCTACATCTTTAGTTCCGGTTGGTGTCACGCCCTGAAGTTTTCCCCTTCTTTCTTGCTTTAAAATTTGTTGAATAAATCCTTCGAAGAAATTGTTTAAATTAACCTAGAGCAAATTCCTTAATTAATAAATACAATCAATAATTGGAAATGGCATTGTGGGATTTTTCTTGGGTTCCACATGTCACAATGTCACAATACATTAACAGGATATTTAGTGAAATTTTCAGAGCCCCATAAATATTTTTAAACAAATTAAAATCCATAAACCGCAATATTTAAATGTCGTAGGCTCTCCGAACCTTCTGAGGGATGAAATAAATAGTTCAAGTCATTAAACAAACAAAATGAAACATCCGACGTCTCGAGAGAAGAATATTGGAGACATTGTTGGGCCTTTGACCTTCCAATAAACTTCAGCCTGACATGTGCTCGTCAAACCACTCGAAGGATGTGTTACACATTCAGGAGACTTGACAAAAATAACTAAACATCCGACGCCTCGAGAGAAGAATATTGGAGACATTGTTTGGCCTTTGACCTGCCAATAAACTTCAGCCTGAGATGTGCTCGTCAAACCACTCGAAGGATGTGTTACACATTCAGGAGACTTGATAAAAATAACTAAAGATCTACAACATCTAAAATATTCTTAACTCATACTCATCTAAATCTATGTGCACTAGATTCACACTTTCATCTTAAGCATGAAAATACATAGCAAAATACACTTAAGATGAAATGATCTAAATCACAACTACTTCATAATTACATAGGCCGACAGGCTGAATATAGATATTAGAACAACAGAAGCTTGACTACCCAATCCTCAAGCACACCGACTAAGGGTTTACCCTCATTAAGTTCAAGTCCTAGAAAAAGCAGTCGATTACCCTCATCACTCAAAAGACTAAGTCTAACACCTGCAAGCAAATAGTTAATCCAACAGCAAGTGTCAGTACATTATTAGAAATAATGTAATGGTAAGCACCAAGGCAAGCCTAATATTCTACTAGCAAGGCATATAATCAAGGAAGGCATAGTAGGCTTAGTATGGTTCTTTTTAGCACAAAACAAGTTTTATTTGCATAAAACGTATTCAAATCAGATTTGCTTTCAAATAAATTTCAGCAAGCTAGCACTTAGCATTTGGGCATCAAAGTAGGCATTAATCATGTAAAAATATTCACCCCATTGCCATCCATGGCAGTAAGAAGATCATTCTCAAATCTCATCACAATTTGAAGGTGAATTTCAGCATTTAGAAGAATAAACACAAGTCTATACTCAATACATATCCACACGCCGCTCATGCCGCTCATGACCGCAAGCACGGCTTATCAATTAGTTTTAACTCTGCAGAGTTTGTACACTTTACCCACATGATGCGAAATAATAATCATGCAAGAGCATGGCACGCGATACATAAGTACCCGATTTATTATCCGCAACAAAGCTTTTCCAAAATTCATGATTTAGCCTTACACCAGCACGATACGTGTCTCTCCATCCTAAGCCATACACGTTATATGACCTAGAACCGTTAAGTGGCGGGCCCACGCCTTAAACTTAACGCCGTGGTGGCAGACACAACGGGAACCCACTACGTGGCACAATACCGTTGTATTGGACACGCTTAGTCACTTAAACTACCACATCGGGGTAAATAGGAAGCTCCTCTGAATTATTTGAAGTCATACACACTGGCCTATCAGAATGTAGAGCTAAACCATAAATAATTTACTAAGCTTGGACTATCCCATACCAGCACATGTGGTTTACGAAGGCTTTGGTAGATAATCAAAAAGTGGTACTAGAGTTCTAACAAGGTACATTATGGAGAAATTCGTTCTAACAAGGTACATTATGGTATATATTTTTGGGATCTATGGCCAATGATCTATCTTGGTTAAGCCCACATTTACAAAATTTTAAAAATTTTGGACAACAAGCACAAAAGCTACCAATTTTAAAAATAAGCGGGTTGCTTGATGGCATGTAGGGATGGCAATGGGGACCCGAACCCTGAAACCCGGTGGGGAAAAACTCTATTAAGGGCTCAAAACGGGAGCATATCATCCCCCATGGGGCTGTTAACGGGGAAAAACGTCCCCCATCGGGTTGAGTGGGGGCGGGGACGTTCCACAGCCCCCCCGACCCCGAATGCCCGTGGGCCCCCGAGTACGACCCCAAATACCCGTGGGCCCCCGAGTAGGTTGGTACATATTAATATCTCTATGTAAAAGCTTACAGCCCATATAGAGAAAGCCCAACTTTGAAGGCCCAGTTCGTATTATGCTACATATACTCCCTCCATCCCTAAATATTTGACGCCGTTGACTTTTTTAAAAATGTTTGACCGTTCGTCTTATTTAAAAAATTTAAGCAATTATTAATTCTTTTCCTACCATTTGATTCATGGTTAAATATACTTATGTATACATATAGTTTTACATATTTCACAATAGTTTTTAATAAGACGAACGGTCAAACATGTTTAAAAAAGTCAATGACGTCAAATATTTAGGGAAGGAGGGAGTATATACCAAGAAAACCTAGGCAGGGACTCCACTCCCCACACCAGATCCAATCGGTCAAGCCACCAGGTGACCTCCATGCGCCGCCGGCGCATAGGCGCGCACAGCACACTTCTCTCCTCGACCGCGGCGACTCCCATCTGCCGCGCCCTCTCCTGCTCCACCTCCGAGCCCAGCGACTCACAGCGGCGCCGGCCTCATTTTCTTTTCTCCGCTCTTGCTGACCAGCAGCGACGGTGCCGTCATCAGACAAAGAAGCTACTCATGCAGCTGGCTCCGCAAGCAACCTGGACGACATTAACTCGATCTGATTTTTACTTATCTATTGCTTTAGTGTCACTCATATTCACTAATCACTAGTGCATCAAGTTTCTGTTTTTATTGTACAACTACCTTGGATTTTGAAGTTCTTCACTCTTGCTTCATTTCTTTGGTGTGAACTGTGAACTCTTTATCATCTGTTTCTCTTCAATTGCTCTATGTATTTTGATGGTTGTTGTCGGGGGCGAGAACCCGCGGGTGCCCCGTACCCGCTGCGCGGACGGGGACGGGAGGAAACCTTCCCCCGAGCACAGGGGTGGGGACTGGGGACGGGGGTTTTCCATCACCTCGGGGGCGGGGACGGGGTAATGAAACCCGGCGGGTGCAAACCTGTTGCTATCCCTAATGGCATGTATAGCAATAACTTTATTTAGAAAAAAAATGACATGAATGTATGCTATGATATCATGTTGAATGAATGATACGATGAATGTATGCGAATGATTCAATGCTTATGAAGATATTTTTTTATTGTATACATGCCATAGAACAAGATATTTTTTTATTGTATACATGCCATAGAACAATCCTTTTTGTCCAACTGATTAGTATGTTGCGGTGGTATTTTTTTTTAAAACAAATGGATCATCTTAGAGAAGTTTTCAAAACCAACAAGTCAACTTTTCAAACCATGTTTGTGAGTTGCTTCAATGTACAAATCTTGCATCCAACCATAAAGGGGCACAAAATTCGCGCATTGAGCCATCTCAACATAAATCACATAGTTTGCTTATGACTTGCCCTTAGCATGGCATTTTCTTTTAGGCTTGTAGGACTGTCAAAGGTTACATGTTCTATCTTTGGGTTTGTATGGACATGGTATACTATCCCCTTAAATTAAAATAAATTTTTGCCCTAGAGTTTATCAACAAATCTCAATGGAAGGGAGCTAAACCAACACGTGTTAGATGCTGTCCTACATAGTTCCGGGATATAAACTGAAACAAAAGTCTATGCTAGTAAGATGATAAGCTATGAAAAATTTTATATTCATCATTCTAACAAAGTGGTCTTCAACCTGGAAAGGAATGGTGATTTTTGGACAAGTGGGTTATTTTAGAGAAAATGATCATGCCAAGTAGTGCAGTACTGGAATTCGTGAGTCTACTGTCTTTGTTGAACTTTTAGGTCAAGTTCTAAAGGTGCAAAAATTTGGGCAAAAACCAGAGAGATGGGTGAGTAAGGTTGTGAGCTACCCTGAGTAAGGAACCAAGATTTTATCACCTACAGTTTAGGCTACACAAATTCAACAACCAGGTTGACTACTGTTTTCAGATTTGGGACTTTACCGAGTTATGTGAATTTTTATGCCATGATGCAAGGACTCCAAAATTTAGCCAAAAATCGTGAAGTCTACTGGGTATGTCTAATAGCTACTGTGAAAAGATGAACATTTTATCAATTATGGTTTGAGCTACACAAAAAGATGAATGCAGCTGTCTACAGATTCCAGAACATAGTTTTGCTAACTAATCGATTTATTTTATTATGATGCAGAGGTCTAAAAATTATGCCAAAATTCATGAAGCTTTCTTAGTTAGTCTACATGTTTCCTTTCAAAATTCTCAGGTTTATCACCTACAGTTTAGTCTAGACAAAAATAACAAACAGACTGACCTAAGATCCAGAAAAGAACAACCGGCACAAAATAAAACTTTATGCAAGTTTTAAGGTGTCTAAATTCATCATCTTTTAAATGCATTATGTTAGAGTGGTCCAGAAGCTATATGAATTTTGGGTGGTACATCTAAGCAAACAATCTAGAGGTATAAGCACAACAAATTATATCCTTCACAAACTACTTGGTCTAGGCCATATCGGTAAAATTTTGAAGTGCCGGGAGAAACGGAGTTCAGAATCAACCCAATCCATTTTTAGTGTAGAGATAACACAAGGAGATGAAAATCTTGTCATGTCTATCAAGTTTTAAGTTTTATCAACCCATTTTCAAAACCCATTTACTAGTGGTTCTTTCTAACCCGATATTTTGCAAATCCGTACTAGTACATAGGAGTAGTTTGCAAATGTTTTTTTTCAAAACTTTTCAAAACACTTTGGTATTGTTTTGTATTGATTATTGCGTGATTTCAAACACATTTTCACAGAAATACAAACTTTCAAAAGGTTTCTTCTATAGAAGAAGGTAAGAGTTTTGGAAATTAAAATAGAGGTATAGAGGAAAAATAATCTCTACAGAAGGATGAGATTATAAGCTTGAATATGATTTTCGCAGATAAGTTGTAGCTGAGAGCGAAGCCCTCAAAATAATTTTTAAGAATCAATCCTAAACGACCAACTTAAGGTGCTCCTATAGTCGGTATTTGCTCTGATACCATGCTGTCGTAGACTCTCCGGACCTTCCATTATATTTGAGAGATGAAATAAATAGTTCAAGTCATCAAATAAACATAATAAAACATCCGACGCCTCGAGACAAAAATATTGAAGACATTACTGGGCCTTTAGCCTGCCAGTCAACTTCAGCCTGAAATGTGCCCGTCAAACCACTCGAAGGATGTGTTACACATTAAGAAGACTTGATAAAAAAGGCTAAAGATCTACAACATCCCAAATATTCTTAACTCATACTTATGTGAATCTAGTTCCCAGGATGTGCACTAGATTCACACTTTCATCTTAAGCATGGAAATACATAGCAAAATACATTTAAGATAAAATTGATCTAAATCACAACTACTTCATAATTACATAAGCCGACCGGCCGAACATAGATATTAGAACAGCGAAAGCTTGACTACCCAATCCTCAAGCAAACCGACTAGGGTTTACCCCCATTAAGTTCAGATCCTAAAAGAAGCAGTCGATTACCCGCATCACTCAAAAGGCTAAGTCTAACACCTACAAGCAAATAGTTAATCCAATAGTAAGAGTCAGTTATAATGTACTAGCAAGCACCAATGCAAGCCTAACACTCTACTTGCAAGGCATATAATCAAGGAAGGCATATTATGGTTCTTTTTAGCAAGGAGATCATTCTCAAATCTCATCACAATTTGAAGGTAAATTTCAGCATTTAGAAGAATAAACACAAGTCTATACTCAATACATATCCACACGCTGCCCATGACCGCGAGGACGGCTAATCGATTAGTTTTAACTCTGCAGAGTTTGTACACTTTACCCACATGATGTGAAATAATAATCATGCAAGAGTATGACATGTGATACATAAGTACCCGATTTATTACACGCAATAAAGCTTTTTCCAAAATTAATGATTTAGCCTTACACCAGCATGATACGTCTCTCCATCCTAAGCCATACATGTTATATGACATAGAACCGTTAAGTGGCGGCCCCACGCCTTAAACTTAAGGCCGTGGTAGCGGACACAACGGGAACCCACCACGTGGCACAATACCGTTATATTGGACACGCTTAGTCACCTAAACTACCACATCGGCGTAAATAGCAAGCTCCTGTGAATTATTCGAACTCATATACACCGGCCTACCAGAATGTAAGGCTAAACCATAAATAATTTACTAAGCTTGGGCTATCCCATACTAGCTCATGTGGTTGTACTATATACGAAATGAACTGACATTGAGTGCAGTCCTTAGGTCGGTTTGGGCACACTCTCCCCCTATCGGTACACAACTAATCACCATATGTGCACCACTTGAGGCCCAAACCTAAAACCCATGTTTTCCATCATTTTATTTGTCAAATACTTTATTTATTCATCTCTGTCTAGAATCTTAACAAAATTATTTTTCCTGTTAATATGAGCCCAAGTGATAAGTAAAACCATTCTAAGCATGGCTAAGAAATATAGTAAACTAGTGACAATGTAACTCATATTCCAAATTCCAAGTAGTAACAGGATATGATTCATAAGGTTAGGAATGAGGGATATGGATATATGTGGGGTTAAGGTGATAATGCAAGTAATAGAAGTTTGTAGTTTAAATTTTTTTTTAATTTATTAGTGTACAATCGACATGCAAGATTTACAAACATTTTCAATAACCTCCAAAACATAGGTTCAAAGTGAACAAAGAGAGAAGTGATCAAAGAGAGAGGGAGGTGGGACTTTCCTTGTAACTGAAAAATGTCAGCACCTAATTCACTTCTTCACCGTTTAAGCAATCATCTAAACAAAGTACACGTTATGCGATTAAACACCGAAATATGCGAAAAATCCAAAATGCTCTAAAATGCATGTGCATAACACCGAAATATGCGAAAAATCCAAAATGCTCTAAAATGCATGATTTATGCACAGTGGATAGGTACTGGTCTAAGATGAATTTAGATAAAAGAATTTCTATTTTATCTCTTTTTATTTGGGAGTTATGAATTTTAGAAGTTTGCTGATAGCATTTACCTAGGTAGTGTTGTAAAATATTTTTATAAAGTGATGTTTATTAAGTTTGACTTCACAGAGGTATAGAGAAGTGTTTTCTAAGTCTAACACATATGGTTTCACAATTTTTGGAGTTAATATGAATTCTTTATGTATTTTACAAGTTATAACGTGTTGTAGGCGTATAGTCTCTGTGTACATGGCTTTAGAGATTTAGGTCCAGAACTTGCTCCATCTTGCTAGTGATGTTTAAAATGAGTATTTTAGTTAACTAATCTAATCTTAGTTCATAATTTTAGAGTTACTACACATTTTATAAATAGGGATGTTCTATGTTAGTTACTTAACATACCAACCTAGAGATTATTATATGAGTAAAGGGATTATTATATGAGTAAAGGGTACTAAGTTTTGGTGGAAGGGGATGGATCTATGCCTTCACTGGACCAACAAGTTTTATTTGGGTTTCATTATAGTTAGAGTGTATTTCTATATACATTTATATATACTTATTGCTTAATCAATACTATGTGATTAGCACCTATCCTATAAATTTAAAGTTTAGAGCTATAACCTGTACAGAAGGTGCCATATTTTATTTTACTATGTTGAAGCTCACCATTTGCTGGTTCTATAAAAACCTTGTTCACTCCATTTGGAGTGAAGATGAATATTCTACAGAACTTGGGTTTACTCAAAAAGGATATAAGATGAATTTTATATAAACCTCTAAAATTCAGTTTATGTAAAACTAATTATTTTAAAGATAATAGTTTTAGAGACATTGATTTAAAGTGTGTATATGTTTTATTTTACTTTGTTTTTAGAGAATATGTTGGTGGATCTGTAGAAACTGAATTTTGCCTCTCTTTGAGTTGTAATGAATTTCCTATGCATTTTATAAGTTTGTGCAAGCTTTATGTATAGTTTTTCTTGGATAAATTTTAGAGGTGAAATTTGTACTGTGAGTGCAAGTTTTTATTCCATTAAAGTTCATAACTTGATGAGTTCACAGAAATTTGAATCATCTCAAAAGGAGTTATATTTGATTTTATATGGAGTTTACAAGTTTTAGGTACTTTTCTTATATAATCTCAGATTTTGTTTCTAGGGGTCCACTGTCAGTCATACGACCGATATGCAAAAAGGCCCTTGAGATTTCTATAAACCAACCCGCAGTTCTGGGCCCATACGTCAGTGAGTATAAAATTTGCACATTGAACCTTCAGTTGTTTAAATTCTCGAAATGAGGTCCCTGTCTCCTACAGAGGCAGAGCAGCCATGGTTGAGTTCGATCTCGGGCTCGCCGGCGGCGATTGGTGGCTCGGTTGGGGTTGAGGTCAAAAGATAAAATGAATATCACGTCAATGCGATTCCATTCCTCTACTTTTATCGGTTTGGGGACTTCGGAGTAGCGTTAGCGGCGAGTCCGAGCGGTGGAAGGTCTCGGCTGTGCGTGCATGTGTGCTAGAGACCGATTGGAGCTAAATGGATGCATGCAGGTGAGTTCTTGGGTTAATAGAGTCTCATAGAAGCTTTACCGTGGCTTCTAGAGGCCTGACAGGGTCTTGGCGATGGACGGAATTGGCGGCGGCGGCAAGAACCTCCGGGGTGAACGGTGACGGCTCGATCTACTTGAAGAGTGGCCATGCATGCCTGTCCAAGAGGTTTATTAGATCCCAGGGATGGTGCATGCACGAAATAATCGACGAGGGAACCGGCGAAGGAGAATTTGGCCATGGCGACGGTGGCCGGAGTTGTAGACGATGGAGGCCGTTCTCCTTCCTCGATACGTCATTCTTCGGGATTTTTGAGGGGAAATAGAGAGGACTTCGCGAAGCTGGTGGGTGGTGGCTCGCTCCGGCTTGGTCTAAATCGACGGCAACGGCGACGATGTCGCTGCTGCGGCGCTCGGTGCACGCACTGGAACACTCGTGGGCACGGCGGCGTTCCCGTCGCTACAATGGATGAAATGAGATGGTGTCAAAGGGTAAAGTGGTAGGCATGAAGTGAGGAATATGGAACGAGAAAGAGTTAGTGATGACGATGGCTCGACGATGAATGCGAGCTCCTCCTTCTTGGCGGTCGACGACGAGCAAGAGGTGGAGAGGGAGAGCTGAAGCTCTCTCCCTCGGCTTCCTCGGTGTGGAAATGAAGTGGAGACGAGGGCGACGCGTCAGGGAGAGGAGTAGAGAAGGAGCTCGGCGTTTTGAGGGCGTCGACACGTCGCAGCCACGCGTCGCGCGCGTCCGGACTCTGGAGGGCGGCAGAGCGTGCTCCCTCTCTCTCGATCTCTCTGGTCGGCGGGAGGAGATGGACAGGGAGTGGGCAAGCTAGGGAGGCTGCCAGGTGGGCCCAGATCGATGGAACCAAGGCTAGGGAGAGTGGGATGGGTAGACATCTGAGTGTAAAACGATTTTTGGATTTCTCTTCCCCAACTTTGTTAATTCATAGATTAGTTTATGGTGCAGATCAATTCACGTGGATTTTACTTGAGGTAGGTGTATGTACCTAGTTTCTATTTTTTTTGGTTGCACTAAAAAATTTATAGATAGATTACTCACAAAAATTAGGAGAAAATGGGCTCTTTGAAAAAGTTTGAAGTTTTAGGAGACCTAAACATAGAAGAAAAAAATATATTTATTCACGATAATTAACCTAGTATTTGAATAAATTATTTCACTCATACACTTGTATACAATTTAATACACATTTTGGTGAGGGTAGGTTTTAGTCGATAAAAATTATAATTAGTCTTTTATTTGACTGGTTTGACTGATTTATTTGAGGTATCAAATTTAGTTATTAGATTGTACCAAAATTATAGTGAGTTGTATATGTTAAGTAGAGCCTACATGAATTTTCCCATGATTTTATCTTGCACGAATTCTTTTAGATAATTCGCAAGACTTATCCCTTATATGCATTTTCCTTTCCTAAATGCATGTAAATGTTTATAAAAGTTATATTTGGACTCTTCTCAGGTGACGTTGATATGTTAGAATTAGAGTTTATCTTACATAGGTCATAAGCTTCTTACCTATTTATGTATAAGTTCACTTTAGTATTAATTTAAGAGAATGCTTATAAAGATGATTAAGATAGAATATACCCTATATGAGTTAATTTATTTGTTCACTTCCATGTTCATGACATGTCTTTAGATGGGTGGCCAAATTAGTTTTGTGGGGCTTGACATTGGCCTTGTTGATATATTTTAAGGTGCATTATGGTTCCTATGTATTACTTTTCATTAGTTAGCACTAGGCCCTAATGGTTTAGTTGTTTGTCTAGATTTTAGTTATTATTCATGAGACCTATTATGAAATGCAAATCGAAAATACAAATGTATCTGAAGGACTCAAGTCAAAACATGTCCTATGAGAGTATGCATGCTTACACATAAGTTTACATTTTTGTCCTAGGTTAGAGATGCAAAGGTTTTAATTTGTTCTCAAATTTTATTCATGTAAGAGTTAGATCAACTTCACTTAGGTTTAAAATGGAAATTTTTGGCTCTCAAAAATGGAAAAGTTAGCTTCTTTCTGGCAAGAATTCCATAACCCTAGGATTTGGGTATGTTAAGTTAAATCCTGGAAAATCCTTTTCTTTTTCCTCTTTTTCTTTTCCTCCCTTTTTCTCTTGATGGGCTGTCGGCCCATCTCCGCCAGTGCCCGCCCTCCTCTCGGCTGGGCCGGCCCAAGCCGCCTCCCTCCTCTCTCCGGGTCACCGACAGGTGGGGCCCACCTGTCGGCCCCGTCTTCCTCCTCCAGCCGGCGGCAACCGCCACCGAAACCGCCCACGCCGCCGCGCCCACGCCGGTCCTTCCGCGCCCCACTCCACGTCCACAAGCCCGCGCCCACGTCGCCACCCACGCCCCGCTTTCCTGCCCGCGCGCGCGCCCACAAGAGCCCGGGATTCGTTTGAATCTCGTCTCTCTCCCTCTCCCCCACCTCTCCCACGTCGCCGGCCAAATCGGCCCATCCCCGGCCACGTCAGCCTCCCCCTTTGCCTATAAAACGCTCCTCCGATCCCCTCTTACTTTTTACACTCTCGCCGCTCCCTCCCGTGCCTCCTACCACCGCCGCGCCGCTCTCCCCGAGCTCCGCCACCGCTGCCACACTTCGGCCACGCGCCACCGCCGTGCCGTGAAACTACCGCCGTCGCGCTCGCCAGTGCCGCCCGCTCCTCGGCCGCCGCTTGGTTGTCGCCAATCACCCCCGAATCCCCGTTTCCCTCGCTCGCCGATGTCGCCGCCACCTCGCGTCGCCGGAAACCCACCGGAGCCCACTTCTCCTCGCGCGCCGGTGAGATTTTCCCTCCCCTCTACCTCCGACCGTCAATGGTGACCGCCGTGGTCATTTCCTCTATCCTTAACTCCTCTCCTCCCCTCCTTTAGGTGTTGCCGCTGCCCGTCTGCCCCTCCGCGTTGCCAGGCCGTCGCCGCCACCTTCATCCTTCGCGCCGGCCACTATGCTCGCTGGTCAGGACCCCTTCCCTCCCCTTCCTCTCCTCTTCCGCACGCGCCGCCGCTCCCCACATGCGCGCTGTCACGTCTGCGCCGCTGTCTGTTCCGTTGCCCGCGTCGCCGGACGCTGCCGTCGGCCGGTCGCCGGTACCTGCCGTGCGCCATGCCCGGGCTGGCCTTGACGCCGCCCATCCCCAGCCGCCTGATCTGCCTCTCGGCAGATCGTGGCCATCCATCCCATGGCCCGCGTGGTGCCCCGTCGGCGCCACGTGGCGCACCATCCTCGGCCCCGTGGACTTGGTCCACGGTGGACCGGCCCCTTTGGTCCGCTGCTCGGTGGGGCCCACCAGCCAGCGCCCCTCGCTCTCCCTTGAGTCACTGTCCAGTGGGGCCCGCATGTCGGCGCTACCACCCCCTCCTTTGATGACGTCAGCCCTGGGAATATAGCGCAATAAATCAAATAAGGGTCTTTCATTATTAGTAAAAACACAGAGTATCATCTAAAAATCATAACTAATTCATCCGAGCTCCGTTTAAGTCCATTCAAGTCTTAGTAAATTCATAAAAAATCCCTAGAATCGATTAAAAATGGTTTTGCTTCCTGCTTTAGTAGTCTTATAGCATGTTTTGCTTGTGTGTTTTGTTTGTCGCGTAGATTTCGGCTGTTTCGTCAATCCGCGGTTCCTCGAAGACGTTGTTGAAAACTACCCAATTTACAAATGTCCCGCATTTCTATTAAATGTTGTATTATTTTACAATGTCATGTGGGATGGGTCCTATTACTCAGCTATATATTGTTCACCTTATGCCATTCATAACTTGGATATTAAAATGACTAGATGTTGGTTTAGGAAATGCTTAGCCATGCTTAGTTCAACTAGTACACAAATGGGGAATCACATTAATGCATAGACATGAGCTTTAGTATGACTTTGGATTGTTGCCACCAATGGTGGGCTGTGGGTGCATGGTTTTGCTGGTCGCACCAATGGCAATTAAGAACCGGTTCACGGAAAACCCTAGGAGACTTACCGTGCATACCACAAGCTGGAGTGGGTAACTGCTTGACTTGTAGTATAGCTCGACCCTTTGCTAGGCACCGGTGGCGAGGGTGGGCGTGATGGAGTTGGGTCGGCCGGGGTGTTCGGTTGTCCAGCTGCCGAATTCACCGCGGCGCACTAGGGGACTGCCCACTGCCTGTTGAGGGGTGGGGGTGAAAGATTAGCGTGGTGTGGATGGTTAGGGGAGAGTCATGCAAAGGGTCTTGTCACGATTTCCCCCTTTGCAGTGCCATGGTGGTACTTCGGGGCATGGCGACATGTGTGGAATCGTGTCTTGTGGGTACAGTTGTACACCTCTGGCCAGAGTAAAACTATTCGAATAGCCGTGCCCGTAGTTATGGGCGATCAACCAGATTCAAAACTATTCGAATAGCCGTGCCCGCGGTTATGGGCGATCAACCAGATTCACCCCTAGTTTAGCTTAATAGAACTGGTTAGTTCAGGTGGTGGTTTGGGCATGTCTCAATGTGGTATAGCGTTGAGCAGTGATTGGTTAATATTTCTTAATCAACTATAACTGTTTTACTATTTTCTACTACTGCTTTTAAATGCATGCTTTATGCAAATGAACCTTTAGCCTCCTTTGGTTATATCCTGCATCATACCTCCTCTTCCGGTATGACTTGCGGAGTACAATGGGTAGAACTCAGTCTTGCTCTCTCTTCCCCATACGAGAGCTGAAGTTCTTCCCAGCTGGAGCTGTCTTGGAGAAGTTGGTTTCGTCGCTGCCCTCAAGGATGCCTGTGGAGTGGAGTCGCCCGCTGCAGGAGTCAAGCTTTCACGTTTAGCTCGCCTTTATATTTTCGACTGCATTTGTAATCTTTTATATTTTTGTAATACGTGGATCTGTATGTCAACAATTGTCGTTTGTGTACCCTGGCTAGTCCTGGACAGGGGTTTAATGCACATTCAGCTTAGAAATTCTGGTTTGTGAATTTTTGGGCGTGACAAGTTGGTATCAGAGCCGACCTTGATCATAGGACAAGCCAACTGGAAACCCTAAAAGCCCTCTGAAACCTTTTTCATCTGCATATGCCTTTTTGCACTTGGATTTGTTTCGGGGAAACTTGGGATTTTGCTTCTTTGGTTTGTGGGAAAAATCTTGATCGCTACTTTAATTGGATTTCTCAACTAGGGACAGTCTAGGGTTTTAGTAAAATTTTAGTTGGAATTTATTCGACGGTCAGTCCAGCCTTTATCAGGGGATATGCACTAAGTCGTGTCTAGGTTCGATGGGGCAATTTTATGCGTATCCTTATAACTATGCATCTATTTTATGCATTAATTTATTGTTTAGTCAGTTGCATTAGTATCTTTATCTGGGTTCATAAAAAAAGGTTCTATGCATAAAAATCATCATGCTTGGCTAGTTACTTGAGTCATTTTTTGCTTTGTTTAATTTGAAATTGAGCATGCGTTGGTTCCTATCCCTTGGCTACTTTAGATGTCAGACCTGTTCCTTGATTGCAAGCGCCACTCCGAGCTTCAAAGTCGCCGCCTTTAGCTTTACGTCTCTCTTAGTCTGTTTGCTTGCTAGTTTCTGTGTTTAGGTTTGTTGCTTGTGGGTTAGACGGTGGTCGATATCATGTGTCAGTGGTATGGATGCCTGAATTAGGAGTTGCTTGCCTTCTTTTTAGTGTTTTAATTCGTCAGATAAATTGCACTTAAATTTATAAGAAAGATTAGTTCTAAGCCATTTGTTTTTCTTCTTTTCCTCTTTCTACCTATCCCCCTCCAGATGGTGAAGACAAGGAATGGCCCCCGTGACTCCAACGACGCCAGTGGCAGCGAAGAGCAGATCAATGGAGCACGTGCCAACGATGCATGTAACAACAGTCCATCTCCACCGCCTGAGAACCCAACGATCGCTCAGGTGTTGGACAATCAGACACAGATGATGACAAAGATGATGCAACAGATGCAACAACATTACCATCAGGTGTTGCAGCAAGTGCAGCAGCAAGCACAACAGCAGCAACGGAACCAACAATTTGGTCCTCCACCACCACCCAGTCCAAACTGTTCGAGTTTCTCCGTGTCAAGCCACCTACTTTCTCAAGCACCACCAACCCAATGGAGGCCAACGACTGGCTTCATTGTATTGAGAAGAAACTGAACCTTTTGCAATGCAATGACCGGGAGAAGGTTGCTTTTGCTACACACCAGCTACAAGGTCCTGCTTCTGCTTGGTGGGACAACTACATGGCAACCCGTCCAGCTGCAACGGAGGTTACTTGGGTGGAGTTTTGTCGAAGCTTCAGGAAGGCACAGGTTCCCGAGGGGATCGTGGCACAAAATAAGAGAGAGTTCCATTCTTTGCAACAAGGGACCAGAACAGTTACAGAGTATCTTCACGAGTTCAACCGCCTCGCGCGCTACGCCCCTGAGGACGTACACACCGATGCCGAGAGGCAGGATATGTTTTTGTTTGGTCTTGATGATGAATTGACCAACCAGCTGATCTCCAGAGATTATGAGGACTTTGAGAAGCTTGTGGACAAGGCTATCTGTTAGGAAGAGCAGCGCAACAAAATGGATCGCAAAAGGAAGGCAGCTCAATTCAGGACTTCCCAGGGGATCAGTCAGAAGCCTCACTTCATGACAGGACATCAGGGTGGACCTTCCACCATGATTATCCGGCAGCACCGTCCCTACCACCCAGGCAGCTTCAATAAAACCTACAACAGTGGTAGTCACAACTACAGTGAGCAGCACAGCCTCAACCCAACTCCAAGTCCACTAATGACTCCAGCTCTGCTAGTTCTGTCAGTCCTGCCAGCTCAACCTGATCAGCCCAAGGAGTTTGGAGGAAAGCCCGAACTCTGCTTTAATTGTAACAAGCCCGGACAAATGGCTGATAAGTGCCCGAAGCCCAGGCGTGCCGGACCCAAGTTCGTTCAGGCCCGTGTCAATCATGCGTCTGCAGAGGAGGCGCAATCAACACCAGAGGTCATAATAGGCACATTTCCTGTCAACTCGACACCGACAATAATACTGTTTGATTCTGGTGCAACGCACTTCATTTCCAAGCATTTTGCTGGTGCACATGGGTTATCTTTAGTGAAGCTCAAGATACCTATGCGAGTTCATACTCCTGGAGGTGGCATGACCACAACTCATCACTGCCCGTTAGTAACAGTTGAAATCCAAGGGTCGCCTTTTCCAACCAACCTCATTCGTCTCGAATCCAAGGACCTAGATGTCATTCTTGGAATGGATTGGCTCACAAGGCACGGAGGAGTGATTGATTGCGCTAGCCGCACCATCAAGTTGACCAATGCGAAGGGAGAAGTGGTTACCTTCTAGTCTCCAGTGCCGCAGAAGCCAGGGATCAATCTAAACCAGGCTACTGGTGAGGAACAAGAAGTAGCAGTGGAGAAAACCCCTAAGAAGTTGGAGGATATTCCCATAGTCAGAGAGTATCCAGAGGTTTTTTCAGAGGACCTGACAACAATGCCACCGAAAAGGGATATCGAGTTCCGGATCGACTTGGCACCTGGAACTGCACCGATTCACAAGAGGCCTTACAGAATGGGAGCTAACGAGTTGGCGGAAGTCAAGAAGCAAGTCGATGAACAGTTACAGAAGGGGTACATCCGCCCGAGCATGTGTCCTTGGGGTGCTCCGGTAATCTTTGTGGAGAAGAAGGACAAAACCAAGAGGATGTGTGTCGATTACCGTGCACTCAATGAGGTCACTATGAAGAACAAGTATCCTTTGCCGAGGATTGATGATCTGTTTGATCAGTTGAAAGGAGCTACTGTGTTCTCTCTAAGATAGACCTGCGATTAGGCTATCACTAGTTGAGGATCCGAGAGAAGGATATTCCAAAGACAACATTCATCACTCGGTACGGGTTGTTCGAGTGCACAGTTGTCTTTCGGACTCACTAACGCACCAGCTTTCTTCATGAATTTGATGAACAAGGTGTTTATGGAATTTCTGGACAAATTTGTCATGGTTTTCATCGATGACATACTTATCTACTCCAAGTCCAAGGAAGAACATGAGCATCATCTTCGGCTTAAGGAGGTTCAGTTTCTCAGTCACGTCGTAAATGCTCAAGGAGTGGCTGTGGATCCAGCAAATGTGGAATCAGTTACCAAGTGGACCCCACCAAGGACAGTCACTCAGATTCGAAGTTTTCTGGGACACGCGGGCTATTACCGCCGGTTCATTGAGAACTTCTCTAAAATTGCCAAGACGATGACACAGTGTTGACGAAAAAATCGAACACACCGGCCTGGGAGATCTGCTTAACTCCTGTGCAGGTCCAAATCTTGATGAGATGCGGGCGTGCCAGTCAGTTTGATCCTGCTACTGACAAGATATGCAAATAGTAGACAAAACAGCCGATCGGCTGACAAGCCGATGGAGTAGTTCCAGCCGATGCCGATACCAGCCGATAGCGATAGGGTTTAAGTAATCGGCTATATGTCCAATGTAGATAATGATATAAAGGCAATCGGCTGTTGATAATAAAGTATAACAATAATATAGTCCAGTAGAAACCAATCGGCTAGAAACAATATATAATGAGCACTGATCCGGAGGTTAAAACACACATCGGCTGGAGGTCCGATGTCATAAAATCCGCATATTAGATTAAACAGTGAGGCCTTTGTTGTCATCGGCTATATATATATATATATATGAAATCCTTATAAGCCGATGCAACGTCTAGATAACTCATCGGCTGAAACCCCGATGAAACCCTTATTGTAATCAAAGACAGGCTAGAGGCTATGGTTCTAAGCACGACTAAGGTCGATGCAACTCAGAGTATGCAAAGAAACATAATATCTAGACAATCAAGCCTTTGACTAAGTTTTCAGGGTGGTAGATGTCTTAAGCTAATCTAATCTAGCAACACGATTTAGCCAATACCGGCAGAAACCCTAAAACGAGAAGCAGCCGAAAGAGCTAAATTGATATGCTAAGACTAGATTAACAGAGACATATGATAAATAGGTAGGCAAATATATCATCCAAACCAGAGCAATCCAAGAGGTCGAATGTACTGATGCAGCCTTGAACGACGCCGACATAAACGATGCAATTGCCTGGACCGGCTGAACATTGGACTTATCCCTTCGCCGGAGATCGAAGACGATGCAGCCCCGCGTCGGGTGCCAAGTTCCGCCGGAACGATAAAATAAAGTAGAAAAGGTAAAAGGTAGCGATGCGCCGAATTGTATTGATCTGTGGAGATAGATTACATAGACTCCGGGTGTACATATTTATACCCATGGGTTGATACAAGTCCTTGTCGAACAAGAAAGAAACTATCTTAAAGATAAAAGGAAAGTAACAAACTATGCCTAATTAATAGATAAACTGCCATGCCGCATCCTCCTTGAACTCGAACTCTTCTAGATAAGCTTCCTTTGATTGATCCGACTCCACCAAGAACACGACAGCATGGCAACTTGATGACTCCCATCGGCTGTTTCCTCCAATCGGTTGATTCCAGTACTCTAAAGCCGATATTGACTCTAATACGATGATGACTTCGAGCTTTACCAAATTTCACTGTTAACACACAGCTATTGAAGAAGGAAGAAAAGTTTATCTGGTCTGCTGAATGTAATAGGAGTTTTGAAGAATTCAGACGACGGTTAGTATCTGCACCAGTTCTAATTTTGCTAGATCAGATGAAAGACTTCTAGGTCTATTGCGATGCATCCCGCCAAGGGTTAGGGTGTGTGTTGATGCAAGATGGCAAAGTTGTTGCTTATGCTTCACGACAGTTGCGTCCTCATGAAGGCAACTACCCGACCCACGATCTGGAATTGGCCGCAGTTGTCCATGCTTTAAAGATCTGGCAACACTATCTCATTGGTAATCGTCATGAGGTATATACAGATCACAAAAGTCTAAAGTACATCTTCATCCAACCCAATTTGAATCTTCGATAGCGAAGATGGTTGGAGTTAATCAAAGATTATGATATGGGCATACAGTACCATCCCGACAAGGCTAATGTGGTTGCAGATGCCTTGAGTAGGAAGAGCTACTGCAATGTTGCATGGGTAGAGGAACTATGCTATGAGGTTCAACGTGATTTGGAACACCTGAACATTGGTATAGTTGAGCACGGATTCGTGGCTGCCCTAGAAGCACAACCCACATTGGTGGAGCAGGATCGCATAGCTCAAGCTAGTGATCCTGAGATAGCGAAACTCAAAAAAAAACATGAGGGTTGGAAAAGCCCGAGGTTTTATTGAGGATGAGTAGGGAACAATCTGGATGGGAGAAAGATTGGTTGTACCTGAAAACGAGTTAAAAGACATGATACTCACAGAAGCTCATCAAACTCAATATTCTATTCATCCCGGCAGTACCAAGATGTACCAGGACCTCAAAGAAAAATTCTGGTGGGTCAGCATGAGAAGTGAAATAGCTAAAATTGTCGCACTCTGTGACGTCTGTCAGTGAGTAAAGGCAGAACACCAACAACCAACAGGTTTGCTTCAACCCCTTCAAATTGCAGAATGGAAGTGGCAAGAAATCGGAATCGACTTCATCACCGGTTTGCCCAGGATGTCATCTGGACATGATTTCATTTGGGTAGTCGTTGATCGACTCACACAAATTGCTCACTTCATTCCGGTGCATACTACCTACTCAGGGAAGAAGATGGCAGAGCTTTATCTGGCAAGAATCATGTGCTTACATGGGGTACCCAAGAAGATCGTATCTGATCGAGAGAGCCAGTTCACTTCAAAGTTCTGGTAGAAACTGCAAGAGGAATTGGGAACCCATATGAACTTCAATACAGCCTATCATCCACAGACTGATGGCTAAACCGAGCGAGTCAATCAAATACTAGAGGATATGTTGAGAGCCTGTGCGCTTGACTTTGGTGGAGTATGGGACAAAAGCTTGCTGTATGCTGAGTTCTCCTACAACAACAATTACCACGCTAGTCTGCAAATGGCACCATTTGAAGCACTGTATGGGTGGAGGTGTCGCACTCCGCCCTTCTGGGATCAGACAGGGGAACACCAGTTGTTTGGTACAGAAGTGTTAACTGAGGCAGAGGAGAAAGTCAGAACTGTCAGGGAAAGGTTGAGAATCGCGCAATTTCGACAGAAAAGCTACGCAGACAACCGCCGAAGGGAGCTCACTTTTGAAGTAGGGGACTATGTGTATCTTCGTGTCACTCCGGTTAGGGGAGCACATCGTTTCCAAACCAAAGGAAAGTTGGCACCACGCTTTGTGGGACCATACAGGATCTTGGAACGCAAAGGTGAAGTTGCTTACCAGCTCGAGCTTCCCTCCAGCATGCTTGGCATCCATAATGTTTTCCACGTCTCTCAGTTGAAGAAATGTTTGAGAGTTCCTGAGGAACAGTGTCACACGCTGAAGTTCTTCTCCCAAGCCTAAATTGAATTAATAAATGGTCTCAAGAAATGAATTGTGTAATGGCAAGAGAGAAAACGTAATTTAATAAATGCAATTAATAATCGGAATTGGCATGTGGAAATTTTTAGTGGAATTTTCAGAGCCCT